TCGACTCAGAGTGTGACTCTATGCAGATCATTCAAAAGGAACTATGGGTCTATTTCGTTTCCTTTTGCCTGTTACAAACAAATGCACAAAGACATAATACCCGGACCACCTTGTGGTGTAATAAAAAATATTCCCGTTTTTTATTGCCATATTTCTTCACGATTTTCTTAAATTTTACCTTTTTCTGGCAAGAGGCCATTTCGAATGAGTGACAATTGTCAATATCAGCATCAATAAAATTGTCAGAAGTGACCTTTTCGTGTATTTCTGACTTCGCTGGGATTAAATCGAATTATCATACATTAACGTAAGTGTCTCTTTCAATCGGTAAATATTGTTCGATGATAATACAAATTGATAGGCTTCTGGCCAGCCCTAACCTCTAACTTCGTGCTAAATTTCGCGTCGATTGATATATAATTGTGGCCTGTAGAGCAACTGTAAAATAAAAAAAAATCCAATTTTCTTTTGGTTCATTTCAACACCTAAATGTTTTGGGATCATCTCGAAAAAAGGTTGCTATTCCGACCTTATCCCCACCTCCATTTTCAATTTTTTTGAGGATCGGGCCATAAATGCGACCTGCAGCGTGATTACTAATTAAGATGGACAAACGGACGGACATGCATAGCTTGATCGACTCAGCTCGGCAAAATAGGAAGATCAATATATATATTATAATATATATTTGTCGGTCCAATATTTCGATGTGTAACATAATTTTTTTTTCCAATCGAACTTATAATACCCCCAACACATGGTGTTGAAGGGTATACAAATTTACCAACCTTTATCATTTCAATTACAAAATCTGTATGCATTACGTTCGATCCCAATACATTCTCGATTTTCTTTGCCACATATCAATTCACAGCTACAACTAAAGTCATACAAACAGACAGACAAAGATAATTATCATAAATCTTGGAAAATAAAATTCCCACACATTTTTTTCTCTTCCACCATTCGTCTGTCTATCTTTGATCCGTCCAACTTAAAAACAAATTATTTTTTCATGGCTGTTTTATGCCAGAAAACAAATGAAAAAAAAATCTACTAAATGATGCTCTGAGATTGAGTATTTAAAAATATACTTTTACGTATGAGGGTATGTATGTATGTACACTCATTGCAATTTATTTCTGCAACATCATTGGAAAATAAATTCAATGTTGAGACCCGTGCCCACAATACACGAAATAATATCAATCTATATGAAATATGGTGGTTTGGAAAAAAGTAATGAAAGTTGATGGGTAACAAGAAATTTTTTTTTGATTTATATAGACTTTTGTCCTTCGAACCTAAAATTATTTACAGATGAACGAAATTACGACAGCACTTGATTTTTAAAAGAGTGTCATACTTCAATTAAAGTTAGTTTTGAAGTGAATGTATTTTATTATTTTAGGTAAAAAAAATGAATTCTGGACTCAAAATTGCGAAGAAACTCATAATTTCCTATGAAAAATACTGTAACTTTGGGCCAGAGAAGTATGCAGAAATGCATTTGAAAGCCATTTCAATGGAGGTCCCAACTTACGAAAAAAATTTGGATTCCCTGTTTCCATACTCTCATTAGACAGCTGATATGATTATTAAATTTTACCTCTCCACAACAAGGGGCAAAATGTTGATTAATTTATATGCGTTATCGCATACGAAACATGGCATTAGAACCTTAAAAAACATTCCATAAAAATCCTCGTTTAATGCCATCTTGGATTTTGAAAAAATATTCCTTAAAAATCGACGATTATTGCTTTCTTGGATTTTGCAAAATATTCCTTAAAATCCACATTCTAATGGGCCTTTATATTTTAAAATAATTCTTTAAAAAATCGATGATTATTGCTCTCATGAACCTTGAAAATAAATTCTTTAAAAAATTCACGATTATTGCTCTAATGGACCTTGAAAAATAATTCTTCAAAAAAATCCACGATTATTGCCCTAATGGACCTTGAAAAATAATTCTTTAAAAAATCCACGATTATTGCTCTAATGGACCTGGAAAAATAATTCTTTAAAAAATCCACAATTATTGCTCTAATGGACCTTGAAAAATAATTCTTAAAAAAATCCACGATTATTGCTCTAATGGACCTTGAAAAATAATTCTTTAAAAAATCCACGATTATTGCTCTAATGGACCTTGAAAAATAATTCTTTAAAAAATCCACGATTATTGTCCTGTTAGTCTTTAAAAAATCCAAGATTATTGGTCTGTTAGTAATAGAAAATATTTAAAAATATTTATTGAACAGTTGGTCCTTGAGAACACATTCATTAAAAATAAACAATTAACGGTTTATAATTCTTCAAAAATTATTCCTCAAAAATGCACGTTCATTAAACTGGTGGTCTTTGAAAAGGCACTTTTTTGTGAGCCCATGATCCTTGAGAAAATATTAAAAAAAATATACATATTTAATAATTGGAATGTTAGTCCTTGGAAAATTAATTTACAAACAATATTGTAGAATATTTTGATTTGCACGACCCAGTGCGAAGGGAATTGTTAAACATATTTCAAACAATTAAGCAAAGGCTATAGTCTTGCGGGGCCGACCATGCGATACCCTACAACACTACAATGTGTAAGAAGCCCCTTATGTCCAAATACATTTTGGAAGATTTTGCTTTTGAAATTCTGATACGGAGCACTGCCCAAATATTACCCTTAGCATTTTGGTCAGGGACATTTGCCCAATATTTACGCACTCCGTCGTGCTGTTAGTTGTTGTGGTTAATTTTACACCTAAATATAATCCTTGTTACTGTGCTACTGGTAGCGTAGAACGACGTCAAGGAAGTGGACGGAAGAAAACAGCAACATCAGCAGAAATGGTTCGAAAAGTAAAAAAGCGACTGGATCGAAACCCGCGTCGCAGTGGTCGAAAAATGGCTCGCGAGTTGAACATATCGCAATATTCCATTCAGCAAATATTGAAAAATGGGCTCGGGGTAAAGCCATTGAAATCTCAAAAATTGCAAGAATTTACACCGCAACGGAAAGAAAATAGACTCAAAAGAGCTAAAGAGTTGCTTCGCTTGGCCGAAAGTGGTGAACTACCGAATTTGGGTTTCCCCGTCTCCGATGAGAAAACATTCGTTGTCCAGCAGTTTGTAAACAAACTAAATGATCGTGTTTACTTGCTAAAGAGGCCAGCTGAAAATGTGCACCTTCGATTGGCCACCAGAACTTAAGTGCCGGCCATGGTGATGGTGTGGGCCGCCATAACAGCCAGCCGCTCTTTTAATCGACCGCGGTGTCGGAATAAATGCCAAATATTATGGCGTATATATTATAATATTCTGGGGTGTATTAAAACCTTGGACACACAAACATTTTGGGCACAGTCCTTGGACATTCTTGGCCACTAAAATCTTCGGATGCCAATCCATTGGACTATTGTTTCTGGAGTATTTTAGAAAGCAAGATTGGCACCAAAAAATACTAAAGCGTCGATCACCTCTAGCAAGCGCTTTGCCGGGAATGGACCAAAATACCGCAGAGTAACATTCGGGCAGCGTGTAACGGTTTTAATTGGGTTTTGGAGGCCATAATTCGTGCCACAGGTGACCGAATGGTTACAAAATGAGGTTCCTTGCTTCATTTCCAGCGCACAATGGCCACCAAAATCTCCGGATACCAATCCATTGGACTATTGTGTCTGGAATATTGGGGAAACCAAGGTTGGCACTAAAAAATACCAGAGTGTCGATCACCTCAAGAAAGTGCTTCGACGGAATTGGGCCAAAATACCGCAGAGCAAGATTCGGACAGCGTGTGATGGTTTCAGTGGTCGTTTGAAGGTCATAATTCGTGCCAAAGGTGACCGAATGGTTACAAAATGAGGTTCCTCCTTTTATTTCCAGGTGACCGAATTGTTACAAAATGAGGTTCCTCGCTTCATTTCCAACGCACAATGGCCACCAAAATCTCCGCATACCAGTCCGTTGGACTATTGTGTGTGGAGTATTTTGGAAAGCAAGGTTGGCACTAAAAATACTGAAGTATTGATCACCTCAAGCAAGCGCTTCGCCGGGAATGAGCCAAAATACCACAGAGCAGCATTCGGGCATCGTGTGACGGTTTCATTGGTCGTTTGAAGGCCATAATTCGTGCCAAAGGTGACCAATTCGAACAAATCTAAACTTATTATAAAATTTTCTGCTTTTTCCGACATTTTTTGCATTTTTTGTTTTAATTCAATACAATTTTAAAACAATTAAAAATTATGGCGCTTGACTTTATTGCAGTTTTTTTCATCTCACCCTGTGTACCCTTTATTGTGTCGTAAATAATCACTTCAATCGATTGCAAATGAAAACAGAAAACTCAATATTCCCTCAAAATATGTCATGCTTAAGGATTTAAAATCAACTAAGACAATATATTTCACAACACCCTGAATATATACTCTGAGTAATATAGCCCTGGCTACTTAAATATAAATTAAATAAATTACCGCCAACGCCACCTATAATAATAATAAATTTCTAATATTAACAAAAATAAATATAAAATAATAATGAATGAAGCCATTGAACAACGAACATCTGTTGATGGTCATAATAAAACTTGAATCTGTCATAAATTGTAAATTCAAAATGAAACTGAATTCCCACTACAGCAACAATAGATGATCTGTGGAAAATACGACGTCATCAATTTCATATTCACATTTAGGCATTCAACTCAAAACAGAAATTTACCTTGAGAATTAAAACAAAAGTAAAAAGCGCGATGATGATCCAAAAATAAATATACAATCATACATACCTACATACATGTATGAGGAACAAAACAAAATCATAGACAAAACTGAAAACGAACAACAAAACATATCGACAGAGATTTACTTACGGCCCCTAAATCTGATTCACATCCCCGCACACAAGTGTTGTTGGATATTTGTTGTTTCCCTTCTTTTTTGTTGAGGGGGGATCTATCGTTGTTGTTGGTGGCACAATTGTATATTTGGCCCGTGTCCATGGATCATTTGGTCTGTGTTGTCCAACTGTCTGCGAATGACTCGCCGCATGGAGTAGAGTGTCTGGCAATTGAACATGATGCCCAGTGTGCTCGTCATGCCCATCCATCGAATGGTCAAGTTAAATTTCCATAGACGACACAAAAATATTTATTTATATATCAATGTGTGTGTGTGTGTGTGTATGTGTGTACATATTTATACTAGCCATGAACATGAATATGTTTGTATGTTTATGGCAAAATCCACCAACAGTTCAAACAAACATTCGCACATGGAAAAAGTGTTGCAAAATTTCAAAACAAAATAAAAAACGACCGAACTGAATTGTCGAAATAATTATTTTTATAATTGAGTGTGAAAAAATAATCAAAAGTGTCAGCCCGAGGAAAACATAGCAATGTAAATCTTCGGGAAAATGACATACACATCTGTGTACAAATTGGATATAAAATTAAAAAAAAAACGTATACATAAAAGTTTATATATAAATGTATATGGTTCGAGAAAATTAAAATAAATAAATGAACTCTATAACTTTAATAATACAAATAAGCCTAATGGATTCAGAGGGGGATTAACAACGAATTATTTTTATGACTATTAGTATGAGTTCTTGTTTTGAAAAAAAATTGTCATATTTATGTAATAAGTCTCAAATATCACAAAAAAAACTCTAGTTGCCGAATGAATTGAAGTAGGATGATAAAATGTATTTTAGGTCAGCAGGAATTTTGGTAATGAAAATTGGCCATATAGGTGCACGTTTTGGCATAGACCCATATAGCAGTACCGCTAGATTTAGGCTCTTTTGGTTGTTTTAGTCAAAATTTTTACCCGATTCTGGTTTAGATTTGTAGTTTGTTCTCAGTAAGTAAGAAATATCATTCATTCATTCTACATTCATGTATGAAGAAGTTTTGGTATAGGCCCCATACAACTGAATCTCAAGATATTCGGTATTTTGATGATTTCAGCCACTCTTTCCACCGGAATTATGACAAATTCCCAATGGATTCTGCTTCCAATGACAGAAATGACAGAAAATCTTGTCCAGCTCCATGTTTGCTTATGTTTGCCCATGTAACGACATCAAAAATGACAAACGTACACAAAAAACAAGTAAAAAAACATTAAGTTCGGCCGGGCCAAACTTTTAATACCCTCCACCTTAGGGTAAAAGAAACATTAGAAGAAATGTGGTAAAAACCATTAAAATGCCGAATATCGGGAGGTACCGTTATATGGGTGCTACACCAAAACGTGGACCTATAATTACAATGTTTCGCTACACAAACTAGGACCCATTAGGACCCACAAATACCAATTTTTAGACAAATCAGTGAAAAAATGTTGCAAAAACCATCAAAATACCGAATATCAGAATGTACCGTTATATGGGGGCTATATCAAATCATGGACCCATGCATGCAATGTTTCGCCACCGGAGCTGGAACCCATTATGACCAACAAATACCAATGTGGCAAAAATCATCAAATTACCGAATATCGGGAGGTACCGTTATATGGGTGCTATACCAAATCATGGACCCATACATGCAATGTTACGCCACCGGAGCTGGAAACCATTATGACCCACAAATACCAATTTTTAGACAAATCCGTGAAAAAATGTGGCAAAAAAACTAAAATACCGAATATCGGGAGATACCTTTATATGGGGGCTATACCACAACGTGGACCTATACATGCAATGTTTTGCCACACGTTCAGGGACCCGTTATGACCTACAAATACCAATTTCCAGACAAATTCGTGAAAAAATGTAGAATAAATCATCAAAATACCGAATATCGGGAGGTACCGTTATATGGGGACTATACCAGAACGTGAACCGATATATCTCATTTTCAACACCAACCATCCTAGACACAATGCAAATAGCTCTGCTAAATTTTGACGCTCTACGTCAAATAATGTGGGCTGTATCGTGATTTCATCAGACAGACAGACAGACGGACAGACAGACGGACAGACAGACAGACAGACGGACATCATTAAATCGACTTAGAATTTTATGCTGATTATGAATATATATACTTTATGGGGTCTAAGACGAATATTTAAGGATGTTACAAACGGAATGACAAAGTTAATATACCCTCCTTTCCAAGGTGGAGGGTATAATGACAAATGTAGCTATTTTGGAAGGGAACGAAGACCCCAAGGAATTTTCTTATACGTATAGTGATTTTTTTTTTAAATATTTTCCGTGTATTTTTAAAAATATTGTTCAAATACTTCAGGTATACTTAAATCCAAGGACTTCTGGCCAATAATAGACGTTTTTGCATTTTTTTTCCTAGCCAAGAAGCGAGGATTGAAACCAGCAAGGAAAGCTCAAAAGTCGGGCGGGACCGACTTTATGATACCCTACACCAGCATGCATGTATAGTAGAGCTCTCGTAAAAGAAAGGTATATATTGGGCATTTCAGGGGTCTATGAGATATCTGGTACAAAATATGATTATGGTAGAGTACATATTCCGAAAGTTGGAGATTTAAACACCAAACATACATATGGAAGATATAGCTCTATGTGAACTGACTTCCACCAATTTTGAAGTACTCATTTCTATACTAAATTCGGTCGGAAGTGCCAAAATTCACACCATTTGTACTGATATTAGCCATTTGGTGCACAAGAAACCTAAAATCGGATGGGAGCTATATCTAAATTTCGAAAGATTTTCACCAATCTCAATAGTGTTCGTACTTGAGCAAAACAAATGTTATTTAGAAAATGTCATCTCAATCGAATATTGTTTACAAAAATACATGGACCGACAGACGCACAGACGGACGGACGGACATGCATAAATCGACCCAAAATGTGATTCTATGCTGATCACCAAAAAGAACCATGGGTCCATCTCGTTTCCTTCTCCATGTTACAAACAAATGCACAAAGATATACTACCCTTACCACTATGTGGGGTAGGGTATAAAAAATAAATTCTTGTCCAAGAATATTGAATTTTTAAAAAAGTAATTTCAGCAATTTATTTTTTCTAAAGAAATATTTTTTCATGGATATCCCTGAAAAAAAATATATCTTTTTTTTTGCCATTCTAGCCAGAATCGTCTATTTCAAAATTTTTTATAATGATTTCCTGACAAAGAATTTTGAAAATATATTGTCATCACAAATTTTCTAGACTAGGAGCGAGTATTTAGAAAACTAATTCAAAGAATTGCCTAGCTTTAAATCCTTGATTTCTTTACAAATATGTTTAATGGGCACCCCATAAAAAATGCAGAATCGAAAAATAAATACGTATGGTTTTCCATACTACTCTTGCCAAGAACCGTGTGTTAAGATGCTCCTGACCAAGAATAGATAATTTTAAAATAAATATTTTCCAACGCATTCTGGTCAGAAATCATTGACATTTTTTATGGACTTCTAAATTATATAAAGAATATTATATAGCAAAGTATAATGAAGATTTTAAAGTAAATTTCTGTCAAAATCACTGTTTTTTAATAAATAATTCAAAAGGACATCCTAGACAAGGAACTTCGAAAAAATATATTTGCCAAAAATTGTATTTTTCATTTTTTTAGAATTATTAGTGGTAGATTATTTTAGAAAATTTTCAAGGATATTTCAAACAAATATTGCTCAAGAACAATGGGTTTTCATAAAAAGAACGTCCACAACCGTTTATTTAAAAACAAAAATTCATAGAATCACAAGTTATTTAAATTGTGGATTTTTAAGAAAGTTTGAATTATATTTTTTACTAGGTTTTGAGCTTTTAAAGATCTTTCAAGACAATAAATCGTAAACTTTAGAAAAAAACATTTTTGTGAACAAAAATCGGGGTTCAAAAAACTAGTTTTAAGGACATCCTGGCCAAGATATAAGATTTTCTAAGAATTAATTTTTAAGGACTGTGGACTTATTCTGGGAAAAGTAGCCCAAGGTTATGCCATAAAAACATGGATTTAAAAAATGAATCTAGATCTTCAAGGACAAATATTGTTTCCCTTTGTTTAGAATTTTACGAATTATTATAGGTAAAGAAAATCTCTGGGTTCTCAGAATTTGTCCATTATATTTTACATGGATTTCATATAACAAATAAATGGTTTTTAAGGCTTTACGTCCATCTAGAGTCTTCTAATATATTTTTTTTCAAATTTCAATTTTTTTCAATTGCTCAAAATTCAAGAAAAACACTTAAGATTTTCAAAAACATTTTTTCAAGATCTCCCGGAAAAAAATTTTAGCTTTTTATTATGATTTCTACGAATATTCTTGTAAGAAAAATCTTTAAGTTTTCCAAAAGTTTTCCACTATTTTTAGTCGGATTTCACATCCAAAAATCTTGAATGCTTTCAGATTTCATAAGGACTTTATGACCAAAAATTAAAATTAAATTTATTAATATTTTTCAATGACTGGCAGAAAATCGTTGTTTTTGAATGTTTTTATACCCTCCGCCATAGTATGGAGGGTATATTAAGTTTGTCATTCTGTTTGTAACACCTCAAAATACACATTTTAGACGCCAGCATAAAATTACACATTTGATCAGCATAAAATTCTATGTCGATTTAGCGATGTCCGTCCGTTTGTCCGCTTGTCCGTCTGGGGAAATCACTGTAGCTTCCGAACGAATTGAAGAGGATTGATAAAATTATGCTCAAATGTATGTTATGTCTGCAGGACTTTTGGTATTGAAAATGGGCCATGTAGGTCCACGTTTTGGTGTAGCCCCATGTAACGGTACCTCCGATATTCGGTATTTTGATGATTTTAGCGACATTATTCACCGGAATAGTTTCAAATTTGGTATTTGAAGTTCGTAATGGATACTGCAGCCTAAGACAGAAAAATGTCTGTGTAGGTCCACGTCTTCGTATAGCTCCCATACAACGGTACCTCCCGATATTCGGTATTTTAATTTTTTTAGCGAATTTATTCACCGGAATTGTTTCAAATTTGATATTTGAAGATCATAATGGATACTACAGCCTAAAACAGAAAATTGTCATCTTCGTAAAGCCCCCTATATAACGGTACCTCCCGATATTCGGTATTTTAATGATTTTAGGGACATTTTGCACCAGAATTGTTTCAAATTTGATATTTGAAGTTCGTAATGGATACTACAGCCTAAGGAAGAAAATTGTCTGTGCAGGTCCACGTTTTCGTATAGCCCCCATATAACGGCACCTCCCAAAATTCGGTATTTTGATTTTATCGACATTATAACCGATTTTTTTTTAAGTTTCGCATTTGAATATTGTAATAGCTTATGACAAATGTTACCTACGCAGGCTCATATCGTCGTATAGACCCTAACAGCTACATTCGGTATTTTTAAGTTTTTAATTGAATTTTTAACGGATTTTATTGTTTTTGAGAGAGTTTTTGAGGCCAAATTCGTTCCAAATTCAAAGTCTTTGTGATCAATTATTTCGTGATTTTTAATGGACTTCAGTCCAATGACCTCTTCCCTAAAATAGGAAATTTGGATAATAATATTTTTGTTTCCAATATTTTTTTTCACATTCCAAAATCGTGAATTTTGTAAATTTCCTTCATATATGAGATGTGTCTTACATTTTCTATTTTGCAAAAGTTTGTTCTTGCAAAAAGTTGATTTTCCATTTTTTTCATTTTTAAGCCCAAAAATTTCGCACCTTTTTAAGGACAGATTTTGTTGGATATGCAAATTATTCGGAACCAAAATCTTTGAATTTTTTGCTAGTATGGCTCATCTTGGCCTCATTTGTTATACAAGTTGATTTCCAAGTGAACACCTAAGTCTTTTTAGAACACCTATTTAATCCATTAAAGAAAAACTATCCTCTTAGATTCACCTCATTCCTATTAACAACAAAATATTCAAAATATCGTAAGTGCCAATCAAAAAACACTTAAACCCCGAACATAATATTACTCAAGTTCGACACAGATGGACGTTGCTTAAAATGCAAACGAAAAAAAACGAAAAATTAACGTAATTTTTCATTTTCTTAAATTGCAGGCATCAATTTATGGTCTTTTAATGATTTGTTTGTTTATACAGTGCTGTCCATACATTAAGAGTGAAGTGCCACCAGCACAACGTGTCGGCGTTCGAGAGATGGTTCACATCCGGATGTAGATGTGCGTGTGTGTGTGTTTGTTTATATTGTCTTAACCTCTGTTAATGGGACCGATGTGGTTGTTGCAGAATCACCACAACATCAAGTAATCGAAAGGAGGGCCCTTGTGTGTAAACATAACACAACATCTTGGTTGCCGGTCGGTAGGTCGAGGTGATGGATAGGCTAGCCGACATTCGTATTTCGTTGGCCGTACATATATTTGGACAGACCGACAAACAGACAGACATTGCCAATCATTTGTCAGCTCGAGTCTTCGAAGATGTGTCAATTAAATGAAAATTCCGAATTTTCGTTGGGAATTCTTTACCTTCTGTTTGTACACTTTTACATTCGAGCACACACACACACACATATTTGCATGAGTCCATACTGAGAGTCGCGTAATAATTGTTGGACACCATCCAGTATTTTAATTGGTTTAAGAATTTATGTACATTCTGTGAGGAAATTTCTTTCATTTTGGCCCATTTACATAAGCATGTGTAAATTGTATTTCGGAAAACACATTCTACGATTTCCTTCATCGCCTCAAAATATATGTTTTCTGTTCTTTTTGCAGACTTCTCCCCTGGTGCTATTGAATGGTGGAATTTTAATATCGTCCAATGTCAATTCATTATCGTCCCAATCTTCATCGTCTTCGTCATCATCGTCGTCGTCGTCAGCAGCCACAACCACAGCAGCAACAGCAGCAGTAGAAGCAAATGACGTCAACAGGCCTATCGATGCGACTATGAGCGGTGCATTGGATATGCAACAGCACAGTCATAATTACAATTCCTCCTCCTCCACATCATCAGTGCTAGCGCCTCAGACAATAACGCTTGCCAGTAATCGGTAAGTTCCATTTCAGTATTCCGTCTCTTTTTTTCTTTGAATTATTTTTTTAATTTGTATTGTTGTAGTTCTTATACGTATGGCTTAATTGTTCTGTTGCCTTGCTTTATTACTTTTCATTTCATTCAATGGCATTAACATGGAAAGGAGAACAACGCATTGTAGTAACTCAGATATATAATTTGTTTTTAAATTAGCAATTTCACATTAATCATTGGCTATTGGGAAGATCAATGAATTTTTACAATAACTGTGTAGAAATTAGAATTTACAAGTAAGCAAAGGCTACAGTCGAGCGGGACCGACCGTTGAATACCGTACAACACCATAATAAACCATACAGTTTATATAGGGGAAATACTCGAAAGAATTCCACAAGATATTGTGACAAATAATAAAAGAAAACCATCAGGTTTCGTTCCCTAATTTTCTAATAATAGCAACTTAAACTAATTTGCTCATTTCCAGTTTATTATTGCACGTAAATGGTCTTCCTAGATCTGAAACCAATATTTCCCAAAGACCTATAATCTCTCAGAAGTAGCAAAAGATTAACATTTATTATTGGTTTTTGACAGAAACGCATCTATATGAGATACAGACATTTGACTATATTCTTCAACGAAATCAGCGTTAACGAAATAGGCAGAAGTGCGTCTCTCTTGTATTTGGACATTTTCGTATTTTGTCTTCAAAAGTTGGCAAACTATTTCACACATTGAATATTTTTGGATGGCCATCCGAAACTGCTTGGCTTTTGCAATGTGCGGTAACCCCCATTCAAATGTGAGTAAGTATCGGGCGATAATTACGACCTGCCGATAATTTTGTAGTTTTTTGGTCCATTTCAACCCCTAAATATATGGCGATCATCTCCAAAAAGAGTAGGCTTCTATTCTGACACTCATCTTATCCCCATGCAAAATTTCGTAAGGATCGCGCCATAAATGCGATCTGTATATGATATCCTGATATCCTTACTACTTAGTTTTGTTAGCTGTAGAAATATTACCAAATGTTTAATTCAAAACAAGTAAGTAAATGCTATAGTCGTGCGGGGCCGACCATGTGATACCCTACAACACTACAATATGTTAGAAGACCCCTTACATCCAGATCGATTTTGAAAGATTTCGCTTTTGAAATTATGTCACGAGACATTGACCAGAGAAATTCGCCCAATATTTAAGTACTCCGTCATACTGTTGGTTGTTGTGGTCCGTTTTTCATCCAAAACGCTAGAATAATTCCCTGCCCTTAACTGTCTTCTCAGGCGTGATTGTGTGATCAGGAAGTTTTTTTCTGTTTTTGTTTCATTTGAACCCCTAAATTTTTTGTGATTATCTCTAAAAGGAAGAGGCCCCTCTGTACCTCCAAATGTAGACCCATCTATATGATTTGATTGTCTACGATATTTGGCTATATTCGTCAACGAAATCAGCATAAAAAAGCCAGAAGTTCGGCTTTTGTGTATTTCGGATATCGCCTGTAATAATTCTGGTATATATTGCGGATATCTTTGAAAATAATAGGCCCAGCCCTTCTGAGCCTAACCCTACCCTTGTGAAAATTTACGTGAGAATCGGACGATAATTGCAATCTGCATATAATAACCCTAACCTGTGTTGAAAGGTGAAAAAATATTACAAATTACAAAATATACACTTCAATATTATAAGCCAAATTAAAAAAATCGCATGCGATAAAAAATATGAAAAAATATAAAAAATGTCACAAAATACTACAAAACCTATATTAACATCATTACTGGCATATTTGTATGTGATTTTTTTTTTAGATTTTATACTTTCATGTCAAGAGGGCATTCTGAACAGACAAAATTTGTCAAAATCGTTCCAATGTTTTGACCTATTTCACCCACTAAATATAACCCGATGACCAAAATTAGAACGCTTATGCCCAGCCCTAAGCTCTAGCCCTACGCTAACATCTGCGTCGATTGGTCTATAATTGCGACCTGTAGAGCAACTGCAAGATCAGGAAAATGTTCACTTCCAACCCCTAAATATTATGCGATCATCTCCATAAGCAACAGGCTTCTATTCTGGCCCTAGTCCCACCTCCATTCTAATTTTCATGAAGATCGGCCCTAATTGCGACCTGTAGAGTGATTACAAATAAACATGGACAGACGGACGGACGGATATACATAGCTAGATCGACTCAGCTCGGCAAAATAGGAAGATCCATATATAATTTCCTATGTGGGAAACCAATATTTAGCGGTGTTTGGCCCAATCAAACTTATAATACCCCAACACATAGAAAATGGTGATTCGGTTTTGTGTAATTTTGCAAATCACAATATTTTTGTTAGTGATAGGTCAGAGGTGAAAATGGGCAATATCGGCCCACTCCATCAAGTACATGCCCCACAAAGGGTCAAAAAAATAAATCTCATCCCCATCTTCCTGTTATCTCCCCCACAACAAGTCAAAATTTTAAGCAACAACGAAGCTCTTAAAGCGGGAAATGAATATCCAATTTCTTCAAGTTCTTCACACACCAATATTTCTATCAGCACAAGAGCTGCTGTGAAGGTGGGAAGTATCGATCCACTTCTTGTAACCATGAATAACCATGAAGCTCATAAAACTCAAAATATGTATCAGATTACTTTCAATCTCGGCAAATTTCAATACATTTTTCCAATTAAAGATCTGGCGTGAAGATGGAATATAACGGACAAGTCCTTCTAGGATTTCCGCCACAATTATAGTTCTTAAAAATGCGAAATAAGTATCAAACTCTCTTTTCAAATTTCACACATTGCAGTATTTATATTAACATAAGAATGTATTTGTATCAGCCTACCCTTCTGGTACCTCCCCCACAAATATTTATATCTCTTAGAATTTGCGAAACAAGTCAACTATTTATTTTTTAATTTGGAATACCTAAATATAACTCTCAATCTAATCCTTCTGGTACCTCTCCCACAAAAGATTACAATTTTGTTTATTAATTTTGTTTTGTAATTCGCATAAACCTGAAAATAAATGTTCGATTTTCTTTAAATTTTGCACATATCAATTTTTTAATGGTACAGTAGTTGAAATTTACATTCAACAGAAGAAGTCAATTGTGAAAACTCAACGTGCTTTTAAAACATTAAAAAATGTGAGAAGTTCGCCTTCTAAGAACACCATTAAGCGTTTATACGAAAAATTTTCGACTGGTAAGGCTCTTTCTAATCCGAAGAGGCCATATAAAAGTCGACCAAGGCGATCGGCCGAGAATATCGCTGCCGTACGAGCCAGTGTTGAGAGGTCCCCAAGAACATCCCAAAAACACCGTTCTCAGCAGTTGGGCATGGCTCGGTCCACTTTACAACGGATTATTCGCATTGATTTGCATTTGTTCCCGTACAAAATTCAATTGACGCAAAGAATGTTGCCTGCGGACAAGCCTCGTCGATTGGAATGGGCCCAAAGGTCCGTCGAATATGGGCAACCCTGTATTGCATAAAATGGAACTCTTCAGTTACTACATCTGGCATCTCATGCATTCTTTAACATTTTCTTATCACATATCTCAAATTAAGTAAAGTAAGTAGCAGTATGCAGTCCGTATGCAAATATCACGCATAGATCAGATACGAAATGTGGTCTTAGATAAAATTTATTCAATAGATGTCATCAAAATCCTTCACAAATGTTTTGTGGGACATACGTCTATATGTATGTAATGAGACATGCCTTCGAAATTCATATACGGCTTAATGTCATAATTAAGTGTTCTTGATATGTTACTTCACTCTTCCGGGTTGATTGTTCTTCGCGCTGGCATGTAATAAAGAATTATAATTTTACGACTGAGCAAATTATGTCAGGCCATGTCTTTCATGTTTTTCGTCTCTTGACGCGGGTCTCCATCAATATAAAATGTGTCATAAAAAAGCAAGTGGCCATGAATCTATCATTAGGTGAACAATGTTGTTGTTATGATTCAAGTAGACTCCTGTAGGAGGCAAATTTAAATTGAGGAGATAAATACAAAGAAAGTTTTAAAGAGTTTTCAATAGTTTTGATGAAAACGGTTTCATAGGAATGAATGAAATGGGTAGGACATAATAAATTTCGATTTTTTGTAAAGAGTAACGGTCTTAACGAGAATTCCAAAAACTAATTTGGGGCTTGTTTCGTTGGGAAATGTTGTAAAAATATAAAATGATTTATAATCAGGCGCCTGGTACGAAATGGACAATATTGGCCTATTCCTTCGGATCATACTCTATGGGTTTGAATAATCATAACAGAAGTCCAAATATATTTAAATAATAGAACAAAACCGACTTTTCTATATATATATATGCATATATATATATATATATATATATATATATATATATATATTCGTGATTCGTGATCAAATTTCGAAAATAAAAAAAAAAAAAAAATTGAAAAAGTACAAGTCGGTTTTGTTCTATTATTTAAATATATTTGGACTTCTGTTATGATTATTCAAACTCATAGACTATGATCCGAAGGAATAGGCCAATATTGTCCATTTCGTATCAGGCCCAAATAAATATAATATAAAATTACGACGCGTCAGGTTTTGACTACATCGACTACTTCCCTCACTTTATATGAGATATGTGATAATCTTTAGGGAATGTTGAAATTTGCTTGAGGTATCAAATAAAGCGCATCGAAGTATTCAATTTTCACACTTCATCCAATGCAAATAAAACTCTTGGTATAGGCAAAATTACAAGAAAATCAAACATTTATATCCAATTTTATGCGAAATCGTAAATTCTATATTCATCTCAGATTTCTGATTGAGAGAAATATTTGAATATAGCAAGTTGTAAAGAATCGCTGACTTATTTCGCAAGTTCGGACAGATAAAAGTACTGAAAATGGTGACCCTTTGTGGGTGTGGTGTGTGAAATTTGAAGAGAGTTGGATGTTTATTTCGCTTTCTTTGAGCGTTTTGTTTTTCAAAATCTTGAACCATATGTGGGGGAGATACCAGAAGAAATCCGATGTCTGACATCTTTATACCATATCTTGTGTTGATGGAAATATTGAAATGTGCCAAGTTTGAATGGAATCGTATGTTAATTCCGCGTTTTATGAACTTCATGGATTTTGACACTTTGTGGGGAGTTACCAGAAGGAGAGCTTCCATATATCTCATTTTCACAGAAGATCTTATGTTGGTAGAAATATTGGGATGTTTGAATTTTGAAGATAACCGAATGCTTATTTTGGATTTTATGATCGTTTTATTTATTCCAAACTTTGACCCTTTGTGGGGGAGGTACAAGAAGGAGTAGTAGTATCTTGTAGTTGATAGATATTTTAAGATGTGCCAAGTTTGTTTTATGTGTTTCTTAGATATTCCAAAATTAACCCTTTGTGGGAGGGCTACAAGAAGCAGTAAACCGATATATCCTACCTTCACATCAGATCTTCGGTTAATTAAAAAATTGTGATGTGTGAAATTGAAAGACAGTCGGGCGTTTATATCACATTTTATTAGAGTTCAAAATTTTGTCTTCTCTTTCTCTGCAGAAAAAAAATATTTTTTTTTTTTTTTTTGAAAATTTCGACTTTTGTGGGGGATGTAACAGACGGAGTGGACCGATATATTCCATCTTAACATCAGACCTTGGCTTAATATAAATATTGGGATGTGTGAAATTTGAAGACAATCGGACTCTAACACCACATTTATGAGAGTTGTAATTATTAAAAAATTTTACTGGAATTTTGGGGGAGGTACTTGATGGTAGCGTGAACCGAAATTGTCCATTTTCTCTTTCTGTGCAAAAATATATATATTTTTTTGAAAATTTCGACTTTTGTGGGGAAGGTACCAGAAGGAGTGGACCAATATATTCCATGTTAACACCAGACCTTGGGTTAATATAACTATTGTAATGTGTGAAATTTGAAGACATTATTCCAAATTTTGACTCATTTGTGGGGAAGGTACTTGATGGCGTGCAAAGTTGGAGCAAAATCGGCTTATCATTTTTTTTTTTTGTGCAGAAAATAAATTTCTTTGAAAATGTCGACATTTTGTGGGGGAGGTACCACAGGGAGTGGAACGATATTGCCCATCTCCGAACTCATTCTAAGTTTGACAAAAATATTACGACGTACCAAGTTTGGACCAAATCGGATACTCCCTTCGAGAGTTATCGTGCGCACCAGCCAGCCAGACAGACAGACAGAGAGACGGACGGACATCGCTAGATCGACTCCAAATGTTCCGAAACGGATTTGGTGCAAATATACCTAGGGTCTAAAACCGTTATTTCGACCAGTCACGTTTTGACTGTATCAAATGATATATACCCTCTGTAGCCATGTGGCTGATGATATAAAAATTCGATCTTTTGTGGGGGAGGTACCTGAATATGTGGACCGAAATTACCCATCCCCTAACACGATCTAAGATTAATATTAATATTACCAAGTCTCGACTAAATCGGATATTCCCTTCTAGAGTTATTGTGCACACCAGCCAGACAGATGGTCGGACACCCCTAGATTGACTCCAAATGTTTGGAAACAGATTTGGTCCAAATAGAAATAGGGTCTAAAACAATTTTTTCGATGAGGCACATTTTGGCCGTATCCTCTGTAGCCATATGGCTGAGGATGTAACAAGTTATATCTAACTCCGTCGAAAATGTGACCATAGGGGTGGCTCGAACAAGACGTAGACTGATATATTTGATTTTCAATCCCATAAAAATTAGAGATATAATTTGCTTATACATGATTTAAGAACACACAAAAAAATATTCCAAAGGATCCTGAATTTCCTGAAATTTTAGAAATCACAATAGTAGTAGTTATTTTAGTAATATCTTCCGTTAGCACAAGCTTCACAATTGCATGTCATGTTATGTTGCCTTGTTATACCTCTAATCGAGAATAAAATCACTATTCCAATTGTTATACCAGTTGTTAATGACGTTATTTGCATATTTATCTTTACTTGTTTCTAACCTTCTTCCATGCATTGACCAAACAAAAAAAAAAATAATAAAAATAAAACATTTGCTTCACCACCACCACCAAAACCACCAACCACTACTATCAAAATAAAAATAATTATATCGATTTACCAACCAACCAAAACTTCCTCCCATCATGTTACCAACAAAAAATAACCACCTACCTTCATCTTAACTCGTCTCAAAATAACCAAACCAAACCTAAACCAAATTCAACCCCGTAGTAAAAGTAATGGTTATGCGATCAATGGCACTTTACTACAACCTCCCGAAATTCTTTCACAGACTTCTAATGACACAACATTGCCCAGCTCTGCATCGGCGTTGACGGTCGTCGATTCGCATAAAACATTGCCACAACAGCAGCAGCAGCTACAGATACAACAAAATTCCGATTCAGGTACCACTTTTGTATTCACCTCACCCACCTCAACATTTAAACGTAAAAAGCAACAACAATTACTACGTGAAGAGGAAGAACAATTGCTGAACAAACAGCAGCAGCAGCAGGAGGAGCGTCTGCTGCTCAACAATAACTTGGCCAAAAGTGTCTATGCGGAAGGGCCAATAGGCAGTGGCGAAAGTGCAACAAACTTAAACGAAGATTACACCAAAGGATGTCATAGCAGTACAAGCCTTTTAAGACACTGGAACCAGGAACAACAACAACCTATTCGTTATCAGCGTTACAACAAGCCAAATGATACAAAGACGGTGATAAATACTAGCACAGGTGTGATTATCACTGACAACGCCGGTGTTAACTACGCTTCATCGTCCACATCCTCCCTAATAGCGGGCGGAAACGGAACTATAACGGAAAACCTTAACGGCAGTACATCGAGCGCACGTTCAACACGCCGTATTCACACCTTACCCCTTCTATCTACCACTGCCGGCTGTAGACAACAACAATTGCCCACATCATTCATAGCGGATGGTGTAGTGGATTTAGTGCACGACACTAAATGTGCTGCAGGAAAAACCTCAACATCTTTATCATCACCCCCCGGCCAACTAACAACAGCAACTTATCCCTCCTCGAGCAACTCCAAAAGCAACAACAAATTTCCATACTCAACAACGGCCTCGTCTAAACGCAACCGCACCACCGCCCAAAATCAACGGCAAAAACAGAAACTCTCGTCGACAATGCAAGCCAGCAGTAGTGGCGGCAGTGGGACCACAACAACTGCCAAGGGTTTTAGCAACACCTCCAGTCTAGTCGATGACATTGAAATGAATTTGGGCCTGATCGGTTGGCGGAAAAAATGCCTCTACACCCTGCTGGTGCTGCTAATGTTGTTAATCATTGTCAATTTGGGTCTGACGCTGTGGATACTAAAGGTCATGGAATTCTCAACGGTAGGTAAAGATCATATGATTTTAAAATTTTCAATTTATATCATATCTATTTTTATACCCTACACCACATGTGGTAAGGGTATTATGTCTTTGTGCATTTGTTTGTAACATGGAGAAGAAAACGAGATAGACCCATAGTTCCTTTTGGTGATCAGCATAGAATCACATTTTGAGTCGATTTATGCATGCCCGTCCGTCTGTTCATGTATTTTTGTAACTAATATGCAGGTCGCATTTATTATTCGATTGAGATGAAATTTTCTTAACAACATATGTTTGGCTCAAGGACGAACCCTATTGGTGAAAATCGATCCATATTTAGATATAGCTCCCATATATATCTTCATCCGATTTTAAGTTTCTTCTGCTCCAAATGGCTAATATCAGTCCAAATGGTGGGAATTTTGCTACATCTGACCAAATTTGGTGAAAATCGGTTCAGATATAGCTAAAGCTCCCATATATATGTTTCATCCGATTTAGTGTTTAAGTTCCTCACAATCGTAATATGCACTCCACGAGACTGATATTTAGCACCAGATATCAGATACAGCCTAGCAACTCATGATTCAAATTTTATCAAGATCGGTTCCGATTTGGATATAGCTCTCATATATATCTTCATCCGATTTTAGGTTTTTTGTGCACCAAATGGCTAATATCAGTCCAAATGTTGAAAATGTTGGCACTTCAGACCAAATTTAGTATATAAATATGTACTTTAAATTTGGTGAACGATACAAGAATAATATTTGGTACCAGATCATCGGATATCTAGCCAAAAAAAGCTGTTTTCAATTTTGTGAAGATCGGCTCAGATTTGGATATAGCATCCATAAATATCATTATTCGATTTCAGGTTTATTGTGCACCAAATAGCTGATAATAACCCAAATGGAGTGAATTTTCGAAATTCAACCGAGTTTAGCATAGAAGGAAGAATTTCAAATTTGCTCCCATATATATATATTTCATCCGATTTGGTTTTTAAATCTCCAACTTTCGGAATATGAACTCTATATGATATTTTGTACCAGATATGTCATAGAGCTCAGATATTGCAATGAAAACCTTTCTTTTACGAGAGTTCTACTAAATATGCATAGTGGTGTAAGGTGCCATATGTACGGCCCCGTCCGACTTTTGAGCTTTCCTTACTGGGTTTAAATTATTTTTTCAAAATTAATATTTATTGTTGATAGAAAATAGTGTAATATTTGTATTTCCTAGAAACACAAACCATCTGCAAATTGCTTTGGAGATTTAAATATTTCATTACCAGACATAAGCCCAGCTTAGCGGTAATGACAGATTTTGGATGACTTGAAGGGTTTAACTCAAACCGTTCAGCTGTTTTGGCTACAATCCGATATTTTGAAATTGCAATGTGTACTAGGATACGTTCCTCCAACACTTAAGCCACTTCCTCTATCCGAACTTTGTGCATCAAATAAAGGTATAAATGTCTGATATTGAGGAATAAAAGTTCCACTAGTCCACTAATTCGTGTACTTCTCTCGCAGAAGGTCAACATTTCAAATCAATACAAAATTTCCGCATCCAAATATTTTTGTCTATATTTTAATAATAAGTTCCAAGTTTTGAAAAATATGTATATAATAGTTTCGAAAAAAATAAACGTAAATAACAGCGAGGCTGTTGATGTGCAGCTATGCAACTACGTCGAACGTCATAATTTTTACATTTCTTTTAATATGTTATTGAATGAAAGCAAAAAATGTGGGAAATAGCATCAAATTTTAGAATAAGTTTAGATTTGTTCGAATTGGTCACCTTTGGCACGAATTAAGGCCTTCAAACGGCCAATGAAACCGTCACAGGCTGCCCGAATGTAGCTCTGCGGTATTTTGGCCCGTTCCCGGCGAAGCGCTTACTAGAGGTGATCGACACTTTTGTATTTTGTTTAGTGCCAACGTTTTTTTTTTTTTTTCAAAATTCTCCAGACACAATAGTCCACCGTATTGGTATCCGGATATTTTAGTGGCCATTTTGCGCTGAAAATGAAGCGATGAACCTCATTTTTTAACCACTACTGGGTGGCGCGTGCTGAGTGAGATTGTGCTGTTGGAAGGTCCAAGGTCTGCAGCCCAAATGTTTGCGTGCTTAAGGCTTAAATTCACTCTCCGGAATATTTTCGCAATAATATTCGTCATTTATTCTGATGCCACGGTCGATTAATATGAGCGGAGGCCAACCATCGGCTGTTATGGCGTTATGGCCCATACCATCACCATGACCGGCGCTTGAGTTCTGGTGCCTAATCGAAAGTGCACATATTCAGCTGATCTCTTTGGCAAGTAAACACGATCATTTTGTTTGTTTAAAAACTGCTGGACATCGAATGTTTTCACTTCGGAGAAACCCAAATTCGGCAGTTCATCACTTTCGGCCAAGTGAAGCAACTCTTTAGCTCTTCTGAGTCTATTTTCTCTCTTTTGCGGTGTAAGTACTTGCACTTTTTGGAATTTCAATGGCTTCACCCAGAGCTCATTTTTCAGTAATTTGCCGAATGGAATATTGCGATATGTTCAGCTCACGTGCCATTTTTCGTCCACTGCGACGCGAGTTTCGATCAAATCGCTCCTTTCCTTTTCGAACCATTTCTGCTGATGTTGCTGTTTCCTTCCGTCCACTTCCTTGACTTCGGCGATGGTACGAGACACAAAAGATTTATTCACATTTAAATGCTGGAGCGCTCTTACGATAGCCACTTGTGGGTTTCCAACCAAATATAAAGAAATCACACTATCACGCTTGAATTCAATCGTGAATACCTTTTTTTCTGGAAAACTCTCACCAAAATGATTTTATACGCTTGTAAACAATATGAGCTGTCACTGGAATAATTTTTACAGCTGTCGCACGAGTGGACAGACAGCAATCTGAAGTTGGTTGCAGTACTTTCATCTCACCTGTATAGCATATACAAATCTCTTCCAAGGGGTAATGCACTCACAAAGAATTTCTTTTGTTGATTTTCAGATAATTCCGTTGAAAATGTGACTAAAATCGTCTAAATTTCCAATATCGGTGGGAACAGTTATATGGAGGCCGTATGATGTCGTGGGCCGATATAGCCCATTTTCGAACTTGGCCTGCCTGCACACAAAAGACTGATCTGTGCAAAATTTTAGCTCCCTATCTTTATTCGTTTTGATTACAACAGAAGGGCAGACGGACGGGCAGGGCAAAATCGTCTTAGAATTTACGTCAAGAATATATTTACTTCGTTGAGTCTAAAACTATTATTTCAATGAATTACAAACGGAATGACGAACTTAATATACCGTTCATACCATGTATGGTGGAGGGTACAAAAAATTCCACCAGAATTAAAAGCTTTTTATGTAAAATTCCGGACAATTCAATAATTTTTAGTGGTATCGTGTGAGGCATGAACAAATTTAAGAAATAACCTAATTAGCTAATTCGTTACTGGCAAACCCTATTTTTAATGGAACTCATCACTTGTTGCATATTTTTTGTATAATTTAATAAGTAGGCAAAGGCTATAGTCTTGCGGGGCTGACTATGTGATATCCTACAACACTTCAATATGTTAGAAGCCCCTTAATGTCCAAATCCATTTTGGAAGATTTCGCTTTGGAAATTATGCCCAAATATTACCCTTAGCATTTTTTTCTGTTTTTGGTTCATTTGAACCGCTAAATATTTTTCGATCATCTCCAAAAGCAAGATGCCCCTCTGTAAATCCAAATTTAGACTCATCTGTATGATTTGCTTGGGTGCGATATTTGGCTATCTTCGTCAACGAAATCAGCATAAAAAACCAGAAGCCCGTCGTTTGTGTATTTCAGTTATTGTAAGTAATGTTTGTATTTTTTCACACATAAATAGTGGTCCATTCTACTCGCTCTCCTAAACTCTAGCTTCATGAGAGATTTATTGACCTTTGGTTTCTATTTGTTAACTTTATAACGGCTACAAAACAGGAACATTTTTAGTTGTTGGTCCAGTTAAACCCCTAAATATATTGCGGGCATCTTTGAAATAATAGGCCTAGCCCTTCTGAGCCTAATCCTACCCTTGTGAAAATTTGAAAAAAAATTAAACCCCTTGAAAAAATTAAACCCCAACCTGTATTGTAAGGTGAAAAAATATTACAAAATCTACGTATAGTCAGAATTGACCTTTACGTCTGTTTGTGATTTCGCCGGGATTAAAAATATTCGCGGTTTAATAGAAAATTTGACCTTTGTTGTTACAAATGTTATTGTCACCCACTACATATTATCCGATGACCATAAAAATTGAAAAGCTTCTGCCCAGCCCTAAGCTCTAACCCCATACTAACTTCCGTTTCGATTGGTCTAGAATTGCAACTTGAAGAGCAACTGCAACAGGACATTTTCAAGTTTTTTGGACCATTTCAACCCCTAAATATTATGCGATCACCTCCAAAAGCAATAGGATTCAATTCCGGCTATAGCCCCACCTCCATTCTAAATTTCATAAAGATTGGGCCATAATTGCGACCTGTTGAGTGATTACAAATTAACATGGACAGACGGAAGGACATATATAGTTAGATCGACTCAGCTCGGCGAGATAGGAAGATCCATATATACTTTTCTATGTGGGAAACAAATATTTCGAGGTGTTACATAATTTTTGGCTCAATCTTATAATACCCCAAACACATAGTGTTGTAGGGTATAAAAAAGAGTTCGTCGTCCATGTTAATTTGCAATCACTCTACAGGTCGCAATTATGGAACGATCTTCACGAAATTTAGAATAGAGGTCTATTGCTTCTGGAGATGATCGCATAATATTTAGAGGTTGAAATGAACCAAAAAGTAAAAAAATTCCTGATTTTGCAGTTGCTCTACAGGTTGCAATTATAGACCAATCGACGTGGAAGTTAGCATGGGGCTAGAGCTTAGGGATGGGCAGAAGCCTTCCCATTTTGATGGTCATCGTGTAATATTAAGTGGGTGAATAGCCCATAACATTTGTATTAAATAAAAGTCAAATTTTCCATTAAACCGCGAATATTTTTAATTTTAATTTACAGATAGACGGACAGGTCAATGCTGACTATTATGTAGATCCATATATACTTTTCTGTGTGCGAAACAAATATTTCGAGGTGTTACATAATTTTTTGCTCAATCTTATAATACCCCAAACACATAGTGTTGTAGGGTATAAAAAAGAGTGCGTCGGACACTTTCCAAATTGTGTTCTAAAAATGTGTTCTAAAAATATGACATTTTATTCTTTGTCATTCCTTTGTCATTATGTTGTAATAACATCATTCGACCTAAAGAGTGATTTGCACAGCTATATCTTTCTTAAGGCATTTTATCATCGGACATAGGCCTTTTCAACAAAATCGTATAATTAATCATGTGACCTTTATAGGATGACATTGATAAGCTTTTCTCCTAATCTCCATATTAATAATGCAAATTTATCCATCTCTTTTTTTTTTCATAGGAAGGCATGGGCCAACTTAAAATTGTTCCTGGAGGCATACAACTTACTGGACAGGCTTTAATTATGGATATGTTACGAGCCTCATCGATACGTTCAAGGCATGGCCAGCCTTTATCTATAGGTAAGCAACATCATACAACATAATAAACTATTTAAATATTTACATAAGCAGGCCATTAAAGAACAAAAAACTCTCAAACACATTGTCATAAATTACAAAATTATAGTTCATCATTTGCTGGCTAATCATGATGTCTTATGTTTACCTAATTAATATTCAAAATTATGTGATTTACTCAAACCCTTTTCATGTGGCTCTTTTTGAGAAATGATTAGATTGAATCCAACACCCAAAAATATTTAATACTTTATTTATCTATTTATTTATTCATTTTATGTTTATCTATTGCCCAGATGTTGATTAGTCATTTACATTTTTGGGGGCAGTAGATTTGCACATAAATCTCAGAGATTTGTTTTCTCGACTTGTGTATGTGTGGAGGTGTGTGTGTGGGATTATATCCTTATCGGCTCGTTAAGATTTTCTGCTTGTCATTTGAAACGGAAAAGCATTTGTAGGTATTTGTTTATTTAAGGGTTTTGTGTGTGTGTACGAAGGGGGGGGAAATTCCGGATGTTTGAATAGATTTTTAGTGATTTGTTGCAAGGAAATTTATTTAAAAGTCATTGTTAACATTTATTTGTGTTAAGCACACACAAAGCAGCATAGACGGATGTGTTATTCTCAACTAAAGATAAGTGACTTAGTAAAATGTTGGTCTTTTATTCAAATGTTATAGTGGCAAAAACTATATTTACCTTGAGGCTATAATTTTGTTGATTCACATGGAGTTTCCTTCTTTTTTTAGTCTTTATACAAAAGTTAATGAAGCAGAACTTTAATGCTCAATATGAGCTGAGTAAAGCAATCAACATAACTACTATCTTTTTGGGATTTTGGGGAAATGCCAATCGTTTTTTTTTTTTTTTTTCTTTTTCTAAACAACAAAAATTGACATCTGTTACATAATAAATTTGAAAATTATTTTGAAAATTATTGTCAAATTTGATGCTGATGAATATTGATAGTTTATTTAATTACAGGAAAGAGTCGTTGATAAGAAAAATGTAGATGAATGATTAGAACAAGTAGTGTTTGAGGTAGGCTAGGACCTCATAGCCTCTTTCAAACACAACTTATTCTAAAAGCTCAAATCCATAAAAAATTGTGTAACTGTGAATTTTTAAAATTCGAATATTTTTTAAAACTTGTTTGAATTCTGTATCGTGGACTCTTCATATAATTTTTAGCCTATATAAAAGCCTTAAAGAATGAATTTTCATACCCTCCACCGTACATAGTATGGAGGGTATCATCGAAATAGTAATTGAAGACACAACAAAGTACATATATTCTTGATCAGCGTCAAAGTCTAAGACGATTTAGCTCTGTCCGTCTGTTGTAATCATGCTACAGTCAAAACGAATAAAGATAGGAAGCTAAAATTTTGCACAGATTAGTTTTTTGTCTGCAGGCAGGTCAAGTTCGAGCCACATTTTTCAATGGAATTGTCTGAAATTCCACAAAAGGAGTTCCTTCTGAGTACTTTACCCTCTGAAAGAGAATTATTTATATAGGTCCACGATATCGTGTGGCCCCCCATAAAACGCTGCCCCCACATATTCGGTATTTTGCTGATAATAGCCACATTTTTCAATGGAATTGTCTGAAATTCCACACAACAAGAACTGAGAACTTTACCCCCAGATATGGATTTGTCTATATAAGTCCACAATATCGCATATCCCTCAATATGTCGGACCCTCCGATATTCGGTATTTTTAAGATTTTAACGGAATTTTTAATGGATTTAATTTTTTTTTTTAAATTTCCTAATTCGTTCCAAATAGTGGAGGGTATTCAAAGTTCGGCCCACCCGAACCTACTGCTTTTTTACTTGTTTAACCTTTTAATGATCCGTTGAGCCCTGTGTTTTAAGATATTTGGAATTTCTAAAACTCATTTAACATAAAAATTAAAAAAAAATTGTTGAGCCGTGCGCTAAAGATTGTAAATCATGAAAATCTTATTGAATATTTCGAGTCTCTTTCGAAATTCCAAAATCTAGATTTTTTCAATTATTTTTTTTATTTTCAAGAATTTTTTAAGTTCCTCTAAAAGTCATATATATATATATATATATATATATATATATATATATATATATATATATATATCTATATATATAAATGTAAGTTGTGTTAGTTACTACGCTTATAACTTAAGAACCGCTGGACTGATTTTAACGATTCACACAAATTCGGAGATGTCTCCTATCCGAAAAGGATAATATCCAAAAAAATCGCGTAAAAATGTGATATATTAACATTTTCATTTTGACTTTTCAAATGTACAATAGTAATGTTTTATTTTGCATGATTTTTTTCCATTTTGACTTGCTTTTTTCTAATGTACATTTGTAGTGTTTTTTATATTTTATTTTTGAATTCGAATATTAATACCAATTTATTTAATTGACTTGATTTCTTGAGAACTGAAATTGATGGCGGGTTACATGGAAGTGTAGTACCGAATTATGTGGTGGCTAAACGGAATAGATGATATCGAAATGATTTAACGCGGTCACACCAAAAGAAAGATAATTATTAATTAAAAGATAATTACTTTTTCAAAATCGCTAAAAAATTACGAAAAAAAGATATCATTGCAAAAATTCTCAAATCGGGAAAAAATCGAAAAAAATTTCAGTGGAATCGAGTTTTAAAATAATAATAAGGGTCTTTAAACATTTGAATTCAGTGGATTTTTTGTGAACAAAATAAAGAACAATTTTTCACTATATACAATTTTTCACCAAAAAAAAAATGAAATAAGTGCGAAATTCGATGTTAACTGACATCTACCTTTCAACCACAGGGCCGACATCGTGGTTCAGATGGAAGATGCGAACACATTTAAACAGCCAAAAATTACAAAAAAAAGCCTAACGGAGCTCATTTCAAAGCGTGGGCCTACTTCTTCCATGTGACAATAATCCGTCCAATGAGAGCTCAAAATGCAAAATTCTTTGGGAGTACAATCAGTAAAATACCAAATATAAAGGGTGGAAAATAGTAGAGCGAATGAGACTCTTAGTAAGAAAAGGATTTCTATCCTTCCAGAAATTCTTCACAAACATTCAAGATACCTTAAATCACTTTTGCAGGTCATGACATCGATCATAACTCACGATAAGGGTACCCGATTTCATATTTATATAACCATCATATGATTTAAGCTATTTTTGGGGTCTTGGCCACTTTTTTCATTGTTTGGCCCTTATTTGGCATCTTTGTCTCTAAGGGGTTAGGGAACCATCATACAGATAATTGCCACATAGGAATTTATTTAAGTAAAGTCCCCACATTGGAGTATCCCCAAGTTTACTTTTACATATAATGTGTGGTCAGAAAAGAAAATTTTGTATTCTATTGAATTTGTAACTCCCAAGAGAATATTGGTTGGAAACGTAGATTTGGGATATACATCTATATGATATAAATTGTGAAAACATGAACAAATTACAAATATATGAAAAAAGCACGGGACCGAATATTTATTGAATCGTCATTGAATTATACTATGATGAAAAATATGGTGGATAAAACTATTTTACTCATTTAAATCACGCGAAATTTTTTTCAGTTTGACATGCTTTGTTGTTCTGCTTTATTTTTGATTTGGTCTCTATTTGTCATATTGGATTATAAGGGGTAGAAGAATGTTTTCAATGTAGGTCAATGTCTCGGAGTAGTGCCCATATAAAGGTACCTCCTGATTTTACCATATATCAAAGGATTTGGCTAAAATAGTGTATTTGGGGGGTGAAAATCTTACACAAAAATTTCAACATATCTACAAATTTTAGAATTTTCTCCGTGTAATAGTACCCCCTCAAGTCCTCCTTTTGGCGAACAAACAGACCGACATGGTTAGGGAGACTTATAAGAACTCTAATGGACAATCTGAGGTGCTAATGGCTTTAAAAAAGTAATTAACTTTGGCTATTCTTAATTCATTCAGCCCTCAATTATAAGGTGTACAAAATACAGCAAATTCCAAATTACTGCTCATTTGACTGGAAAATTTTTCCATACTAAAAATTAATTTGATCCCTTACATGGGGATAAGATTAATATATACTTTTTAATAGATTTGTATAGCACATCCACACCTTTGAAGCCCACGATTTAAATATTGAAGCCCACGGCTTAAATATGGGTACAGGTATTTTAAAACACTTTTAATCGACCAGTACGCGTACACTTATATCAATCATATCTGTGAGTAATTATGCTTTGACAAATATGCATAATAGACAAAAACTACGGGCCGGCAACGCGGACCGGGCCAGCTAGTTCAGAATAAAAAAAATAAAATTGAAAAAATGTCATGCGATAAAAAAAAATTAATACAAAAATATATATCACAAAAAAATTATTAACATTTTTATTGCTGTATTTTGATCTGTCCGGAGACCATTCCGAAATAGTGTTAATTGTCCAAATCATTGAAATTGGAGATACATAGCATGTCTGGTGCATAAAATACATGAAATTGGTCGAAAATATTTTATGGTATTGATATACAACGTCGTTCTATAACATTCTGCCGCATGGCGACAGATAGGTTTCGGATAATAAGTACTTTGACATTTGGTTGCCCGGCATTCTAATATAAAATAATTAATTAGTCTCAAGTGACTGCTTCCTTGACAGATTCAACCACTGAAACGGTGTTTAGTATTTTTTGAAAGAGTCAGTTTCTCTTCTACTTTTTTAATCAATTCACAATTATTTCAACTAATTTGACAATATAGCCACATTTCATGCTCAGCTCCGACATATTATTTGCTATTCTCATTAATTTATCTATATATATAAATGAAAGTTGTGTTAGTTACTACGCTTATAACTTAAGAACCGCTGAACTGATTTTAATGATTCATACATATTCGGAATTGTCTCTTATCCGAAAAGGATAATATCCAAAAAAATCGCGTAAAAATGTGATATGTTAACATTTTCATTTTGACTTTTGAAATGTACAATAGTAATGTT